GAAAGCAGCCAATGTAATGGTTTTTCGATGGCCAGCAAAGAACAAACAGCAAGCACTACAGTTCGTAGTGACTATTTCAGAGCCTAAAATTATGCTGCGTTATGCGTTCACTTTAAATCGCTGTTGTGATCCCGGTTTGTCAATCAAGATGACGAATTTGCAAGGCACATAATTGTTTACTTCATAGCGAATGACGTTTTCGTTACCTTTTTCAGGGAAGGCGCCAACGTCTGTAGATGGGACAATTCCATGTAGGGCATGACGTAGTCACCATACGCAAAGCTTGGCCAAGATTAGTACCACTGTGCCAGTGCACTGTGGTATATTCTGTTACAAAGATTCTTAAAGTCCTTCCACGAATATTTGGATTCTTTATCAGCATAGCTTCACTGTACATAAATCTCATCGGCCAAAAGATCTGTTTTGAATGCCAGTAGACGAGTTCAGTGCAGTTGCAGATCATCAGTTCTATTAACATGACCCTCTTTAAGACGGGGTAGCGTCTTAGGCAAGAATCAACATTCGGTGAACGGCATTTCCTGTTCTAAATAAGTAGCATCCAAAATCCCAGCGATGCCATGGTTCAACGTTTCTTAGCTCCTAACACCTATCGGCTTCAAATGGCCGTCGGGAAACGGAAACCGCTGAAGGCTACCAACGTTTCCTGGCAGAAGTTCTGATAGCCTAAGCATCTGAGATGTAAAAGGACCCCTGCTATAGTCTGAAGTTGTGACTCAAACTCACGCCTTAATAGGATGTGAATGATGCAGTGGTGTGACATTCAAATCGGGTCATATTTACGAGAGTTACCGACGGACGGGCTATTCATAAATGTTTCACGCGAGCGGTTGGAATACGTCCGTAAGGCCAAATTACAGTCATACCCTGCGGTTACTGTGTTGAAAATCATCCGAAAATATCACAAGCTTGTCTTTAATGGTCATTGACAAAGAGAGGCTTGGACAAATTCTTTAAAATAGTGGTCACATAGTACCGTCTCTGAATGAATCGTTCAAAGCAGCTCGACTGAAAACTAACATTGCAAGTTTAAACAGAATGATTGCCAAATGAACTTGATGAATCATTCACCGCCACTTCATTTTCGATGCTTGGTCTAATTGAAGAACTATTTGAAAGGTACAACAGAACGCGATATTTCAGATTTCACCATTTCGATTCTGGGCCCTTTATTTGAGCTGCAGCTAATTTCTTAAGCTACGGTTGAAAGCATCAAAAGAAAAAGCAAAAATGGTGGTAATATTATTGCCCAAAGTTACCTATTGGCAATAAAATTTCTACCGTCTATTTTTGTGTTCGCTTGGTATCCTCAGTCATTGATCGTGAATTGCATAATTTTTCCTCAGTCAAGAATTGTACTGAGACTGCCGAACTGATTCCTGTGCAATTACAACCATAACTTACAACCATTCAGTTTCTAAAATGAACCAGGGCATAGTCGATATCAAGAGTCACAAGTCACACACAATCTTCTCCGTCGCAAGACCTTGGAAGGCATATAAAGAAAATTTAACTGTGGCACTCACACAGAAGACTTGAATTGATGCGATAAGAACCTAAGCCTACTGATCAATCGCTTGCAACTAGAAATTGCTATAGAATGCAGTCGATTCAAAACAAACGAAGAACTAAACATAAGAATATTACGAGCAATAGCCTTAAACGTAAAGAAACTTAAAAAATAACCTTCTAGCGTTACCATAGGCTGAAATGTTCCAGGTAGATATCGAAAATTTGAAGCAAAGAGCAATAGTCATGACAAGCAAAGAAAAGAGTCAAGCCAATCTATTGAAGTAGCTTGTTGCTCTGGTGAAATTAGCAAATTCCCTAAATTTTTATTTTTTCTAAGTTATATGCAGCATGGTATCGAATAAACGGAACCAGTTTTCAAGTACACGTGTTGATCTCCTTCAGCCACAATTTTTCATTCGTGAATAGCGACGGTTTTGAGAAACCATCGAATAGCTAAAATAAGCGTTTCAACGCCAGCTGTGAAAGCCCCACCTGAAATAAGTTGTCATCGCTTTGCGAAATGTTTTGCTAGATACTGCATGTGGTTTAGCTCTATAAGTAGCTGAGTCACGCGGCTAAGTTGCGAGTCATGAGGTGAAATGTTAAGCGCCTATGTCAACTCTGACACATCACCCAAGCCACTCTTTTGCCTGCGTAAATTTTTTCCATTCGAGGTTAGTGACTCAAGTTGTTGCAATATTTAAAAACCACTTAAACCTAATTATAGAGATGTTGCTAAACTTTATTGAAAATCAGCACAGGAAGCAAATGTTCCAAACTTACTATTTACGTCGACCATTCTGACACAAACTTTAGGCCTCTTCCAGGTGAGACGGGTGAAGTGACTTCAGCATAAGCGTTATCCTCACGGATGACAACAGCTGACTGCAGTTGTAAATAATATATATGGAAAATTTCACCGACGATATAGGCACAAGCGCTTAACATTAGGGGCGAAATATGGGTCGACTCAATATTGGCAGAAATCTATAGGCGACGCAAATTGTACAAATGTTGGCTGAACTTAACTCAAGAGTTTGAATTATGGAAGACGTACCACTGTCATCATAACCAGAGTGAATGTTCAGGTCTTTTCTTAACTTTTGAAAAGGATTAAGTTAGACCAGTTTATGGGAAGCCAGCCACTTTATCGCTATCCACATATCTGTTTGAACTAATTTTGTTCAAGTTGCGCCAATGTTATGAATTTTACATATTGATTTGCACAGGACTAGTATACTTGCTTTGAAGGCTCCCCCTTTTCCCGGCGCAAATTTTTCAGCTGCAGAAATTATTATCAAAATAATTAAAATCACTATAAGCGGAAATGGTTGCTCGTTTGCAATCGACGTTGGTCTCAACGAACACTGCCAAGGTCCGATTCTTCAATTCTACTGCATCTGCAGCGACCGTTTAATAGAAACGAGGTGCTGTCCTATCACCTGATCACTGATTTTTGGGGGAATCACATCATTTTTGGGAAACTTTGTTGCCTTGTAATCTGAGCAATAAATGTATGCATTTTCTATGGCCTTAACAGAATAAGGATTGTTAAAATCGATTACTTCCAGTGCGTTTCGAAATCACACCCTTGGCTAACACTACTAGGGTATGAATATTGAATAAAGCAGTCAGCAGGTGGTGATACTAAATTCGAAGAATTTTGAATAAAATGAGCAACTTGTTTTTGGCCTTTTCTAGCAAGTTGGCTGGCAACATCCCAACTGTCTCGTTTTGTTGAAGCTGTTTATTTCATTACAGATATCCACTGTCAGCCCAAGTGCATAACTGTTTTCTGATTAATGTTTCAAGCACCAAAGTGCGCAGTGGCTTCAACACTCTGATACTGCGGTTTGCGAATAGCATTTAACGAAACCCTCAGTTCCAGTTCCACGAAACACAAAAGTATCGCACACAGCGCTGCGTTCGAGTTGATACCTCACACAGTGGCACTCAGCCCTAGTAACGAACAATTGCCTGGCAGGCGCAGCGGACACGTGTGCCGCCGAACACATATCACCGGTGAAACGACCGTGGCGCAGCGGACAGCTTTATCGTGCATAAATTTCGGATAAGCGCGAGATGTCAGAACGGCGGTGACGGTACTGTGACTGAAGTAGTGTTCGCCGAAAGTGAGTGTACGTGAGGTCGGTGGAAATTATTGTGAATAAAGAATGAACGAACGCTACAATGGTGACGTTCCATTGGAATGGCTTTACTGCAGCTCACGTCCAGCCAGCCGACTCCTTCTTCATTCAGCATGGCAGAGGTGGCGCCAAGAGGGAAACCGAGCTCGTTCTCTTCTGCATTGATTCTGAACTCCTGCAGATTTTGGTGTGTCACATACGAGCGACCAAAACATTCTCCGGCAGAACTTGCGGAATTACCTGGGCTGCAAAGCGAACCGAACCAAGACAGCCAGCGTTCGGAGTTCCTTACTGACACTCAGGGAGATTTACAACGTCTAAAGACCTTCGCAACGCACCTGCGGTTGAACGCTGTTGCTGCTTTTCTATCGTTGGCCACGACCTAACCCTGCACGAACTCGCTAGCAACCAGTTTGTCCTTGGCTTGCGTTCAGATTCCATGCGAACGCGCGTTATTAGAGAACACGGACAAACTCTAACCGCGGCATGGATCTCGCTGTTCAAAAGGAACAAGATCAGGAAACAGCCGGACTCCGTAACGGAGACATTCGGCGCCATGCTGCTGCTGCAGGGCAGGGTCTCAGACTGTCAACGGTCCAAAGCTTT